AAAGTAGATCAATTTGAATTATAGATTTCAGTTTCAAAAATCATACGTTTAGAATAGTTGACAAAACTTTTTAAAATTGTGACATGATTTAATGCAATCTTAAGATTTTTTTAATCAAAATCTTTAGAAGTCCGAGACAATTCTGGGAAAGAAATCAAAATTTCAATACTTGAGATACTAGTTCATGACATATCCCAATAAAATATTGTTTAACTGAGACATAATTTCAAAAAATGAAAAATTTTCAGGATCAAATTAAATCAATAAAAAAAGCAATTAAAAGGACCGGATTAAAACTAAATTAAAGTTATTGAAAAGATGCTATTTTTATCTTTTTTTTAAAAAAAAACTTTGTGAGAAAATTAATACAACAAATTTAAACTAATCTATACTTTTATTATCTACGTGTTTATTTATTATAATAATTATTAGTATTTTTCTGTAACGGTTTGAAATTTTCATTTTAAAACGGTCTATTAGAAAAAAAAAAAAAAAAAACCTGGATCGTACGACAATTACTTACAGACTTGAGTTGTTTTATAAAATTTTAACACAGCTGAGTAATATTACAAAAAAAAAAAAAAACTTGATTATTTTTTCCAAAATGACTCTAAAATAAAATTAATTGTTTTATAAATATTATCTATATAAAAAGTATGAGAAGAGACGATGCCTAATCTAAAATAAAGAAAATCATTGTACTCAAATACGTATAAATTATAGGAGTAATGGGTTCAGTTTAATAAAAAAATATTTGAATTAATTAAAATATAATATACTGAGATGAGTCAATATGTTTTTTTTTTTTTGACATATAATTTAAACTCGACTATATTTAGTTTAAAAATTGGATCTATATAATTAAAAATGTTAAAATGACATATATAAAGTTTAAATTTTCAAATCAAATTATAAAAAGTTATCAATTTTTATATGAAATTTTTTTATTTTTATAAAATAATAATATCAATATTTTTTTTAATAAAATAGGCATAAAGTAAAAAAGTAAATATTTATTTCTTATTAATTTAAAATTAGTTAGATGAAATAAATATATGCTCAAATTCTCAATTTACTTGACACTTAATTTTATTAAACATTTTAATTCCATTAATTAACTTGTCAACTTTATTTTTTTTATAAATTTTAAAAAGTTAATTAACATTTTAGCTATGACTTAATTTTTTTTAATTAGTTGTGCTAAACACACCTCTCTCCTTTTCAAAATTAGACCCCTTTCAAACATCACATGTCTAATGGCCAGATCTAAGAATAACTATGTTTCCTTATTTTGACTTTAATATCAGCATACATCCTGAGAAAAAATAAAAAAAACTAAAAATTTGAGGAAATTTAATTTTAATATAGTGTTTTTTTGACATATTTACTGGAATATGAACTTTTCTATATAATTACAAAAGTATGATATTTGAAAAATCGCCAGAGACGATTTTTGCAATATCTTTTGAGCTTTTAATTTTGACTCTCCAATCTTTAATTTTGACTTTTTTTTCCAGGATAAAATAGGTACAAGCAAGCTTATGTAATTGGGTACAGGTGCTATGCAAAGCTAGTAAAATTGCAAGTGACGGGTTTTACTAACTCTCATCTGCAACTGAAAAATCGTGGGTAGTGATTTTTACCAACACAATAATACATTGTCCTGCAACTAAAAAATAGTGTATTGAAATATAGCGAATGGAGTTAGAATTATGCTTATAAATAGGAATTGCATCATGCTATATATGTGCGGATGAGAAAGGGAAATACGAAAAAAAAGAGAGGAAGGAGCTTACAGAAAAACAATATCAAAGAGGGGAATAAAATGGTTCAAGACGTGACTATGGAATTGCACAAACATATTTCACAACGTATTCGTACTCAAAATGTAAGTAAATATTTATTTTTTAATACATGCAATGTAATATAATAAAAAATTTTCTTAATTTTATTTGAGTTATTTATTTTTTAATTAATGTAATTTATTTTAAGTTTGTATAAAATAAAGATAATTATTTTATTCTAAGTAAACATAATAAAATTTATAAATTTTTAGTATTGGATAATTTTTATTATATTATTTACTTTTAATAAAAATTATTATCATTAAAAAATATATAATAAATTATTCGTACTAAGTGTTAATATTAGCCATTGTATAGTATTAAAATAATAATAATAATAATAATAATAATAATAATAATAATAATCATAATAATAATCATAATAGATGTAAAAATAAGTAAAGCATAATTTATATTAAAATAATAATAATATTATGTGCAGGTATAATTAAGTAGAAACATATCATTTTTTTAAAGTTAGTTTTTTTATATTTTGATATATATTAAATTCATAGATTATTGATAAATTACTGTTTTTAAATGTCAGGTAATGAGAGTATTACGACCACGTCACTTATCTATAATGCCATCTAGGCCTAAAATAAATGAGATTTTAGGAAATACTAGTTTTGATCGTATTGTACAATTATGTCAAATGCATATAAACAGTGGCCTTATAAATGCACTTGTTGAACGTTGGAGACCAGAAACACATACATTCCATCTTCCTTGTGGAGAATGCATAATAACATTAGAAGATGTTGCTATGTTGCTTGGACTGGGATGTAATGGTATAGCAGTTACTGGTTCTACTAATCCAAATACTTTGACATTGCAGAATATGTGTGAACAGTCGGCCCGAATCAAATGATGTTGAAGGTTCTGAAATAAGATTAAAGTGGATCACACAACACTTTAGTTGGCTTCCTGCTAATTCAGACATTAGGATAGCTCAACATGCTCGTGGATATGTACTTTCTTTATTGGGACATATTTTAATGCCAAACAAGAGCAACTCTATGGTATATGGAAAATTCTTACAATTGTTGGTAAATCTCTATGAAATTGGAATGTACAGCTGGGGTTTAGCATGCTTTGCTCTTCTGTATTGAGGTTTGGATCGTGGTTCACGACATGATGCTAAAGAAATTTATGGATGCATAATATTATTGCAGGTATGGGCATGGCACAGGCTCTTGTGGTTGGCTCCAATACCTGGTGAACTAGTAGTATTTCCACTTATACTCAGATGGAGACGTCTTCGATATCCAACCAAGACTCCATATAGGGATCTTGGAAATGTTAGACTAGCATTAGATAAAATGGCACTACATGATGTACTTGTTAATATATTTATACATTTCTTAACTATTTTTATACATGTTTGAAATTATTTATGAATAATAATTTTTGAAAATGCAGTTCATGTGGCGACCATATGAGGATAAAGTGATTGATGCCTTTGTTCCACATTATTTGAGAGAAGAACGTTTATTGTGGTCAACTGTAAGCCCGTTGATATGCTTTGAGGTTGTAGAGTGGCATGCAACTGACTGTGTGATGCGGCAATATGGACTTGCTCAACCTATTCCTCTCGCGCCCCAAAGTCCTGACGGAGTCCACAACAAAGATTTACGTGGATTAAGAGAACCAAAGGACTGGAGGTTGATACATGATGATTGGGTGATGATGTGGGAACAACGACATCAGCGTACATTACAAGGAATGGCAATTGACCAGTATTACCCGTTCAATGAGTATTGGAATTGGTACACATTGTATGCAATGAATTGATTATGGTTGTCTCCACAAATGGAACAGCCACCACCCCAGCAACAACAATTTTTGATAGATGAAGAGCTTATGTCCTCGCCACTGTCCGAGCATTAACAAGGGATTCCACCACCGTCAGTTCAACCAAATAAGGAGTTTTATTGGTCACCACACACAAACCAATGACATCCATTTGAATGGGATGAAGAACCCCCACAACAACAACCTTCATGAATGTCTATCAATAGAAGAGATAATCGTCGTGGGTCAACAAGCAATGAATCACGTCGAAGGAGATCAATTGATTGCAGTAGTGAAAGTGGGACATCTCGTGGGTTACTTTCTACATATGACTTTCTCATTGGGGATGCCAGACCTTCTCTTGACATTCTTGCATGCAACTTTGACCTTAATGAGAGCGCAACTGTGAATGAAGGGAACTATGATGATGAAGATGTTTATCGACCAGAACTTGTGACAACAGAGTGTGGTGGTACTTCTCAGCAAACATTTTCATTAGGTGAACAATATTATGAGCCAATCATGTCTTGGGAGATGACACAACAGCACAACATATGTACAAATACATCTGAAAATGTGGTACAAGCAGAACCTATAGTTGATGAGAGAGTTACACACGATGCCACCAATGATCAGGGTGTTGGGGATGACGGTCCTATCGAAGGAAGACAAAGGGAATTTTTTTCGCGCATGTTACGTCTCTTCACCTATGTCCCTGATAGATATAGCCCCTCATTAATCAAGAAGAAAAAGGGAAAATGATGTTTGTTTAATGTTTATGTTTATGTTTAATTTATGTTTTCATTATTGTCTTTATGTTTAAGCATGGAATGTTATTTATATTATGCAACTTTGTTTGTCAATAAAATATTTAATAAAGGAAGCTTTGTTTGTTAATTAAATATTATATGATTTATCATCTCTTACAGCAGATACTCTTTCAAAATATAACAAATATTGCATATGACCCTTAATACTGATTAAACAATACTACTTCATCTTACATGACGATAACAACTTAATCATCAAGAACAACAACAACAACATAAATTAAAACTACATAAAACAACAACATCAACCTTGCGAACTTGACCCAGGAGCATTTGGACATGTTCTTCTACTATGGCTTTCACCTCGGCAAAGAGTGCAACGTCGGGTTCTTCTCATCTCATGCCTATCCATTTCATTTAGAAAACGTGTTGATTTTAGACGACCTCTTGTTATGCGCTTTAAATTTGGGCTAGGAATCAGTTTTGAGCCTCTATATATCTGCCACGTACTTTCATTTCCAATGACTCCAAACTCCTTCTTATATACTTTGTACAACTCATTTATCTTGTAAACATCTTCGACATAACAACGTCAATCAATGTTTTGACTAGAGCAAGCAGCAATGACATGACGACATAGATATCTATCAGTCTGGATGTCACCACAAACACAATACCTTTGCCTGTGTTGGACTTTATATTCTTGATTGTTGTTTACATCTTGAACAAGAAAAGTCTCATTTCGTCTATCAAATACAGTAACACAAAGGTTTCTAGATGCTTGCTCATTTGATTGAAGTCGAGTCATCATAGCTTCAGAGAAAATATGTCCAGCCTTTTTTTTGCGCATATGCCTCACAACCTTTACGTGCAAATAACTCAGCCAATCGAAAGTAAGTTGCTCTAACCAGTGCTGTTATTAGAAGATTACGAGCGCTCTTTAATACTGAATTAATGCACTCAACAAGATTGGAGGTCATGTGACCCCATCAATGCCCACCGTCATATGCAAGAACCCACTTCTCTCGTGGAATTTCATTAAGTCAGTCTGTATATACCTCTCCACGTTGTCTCAACCGCTCATAATGAATATTAAATTTTGATTCAGTTCTTGAATAACCTGCATACCACAAACTCATTAATATAAGCATGTCAACAACATATAAAATTTATAATTCAATGTAAATATTATTGACAGAAGAATAATGTCAATTACTCATGCAGACGATAAGTTTATGCAAGTAAGGTGTCTTAAATATTCGCAAAAAATTAGCAGCAATATGCCTGATACAATACATGTGAAATGCCTTTGGAGGTTCCCATTGTCTGTTACTTCGTCTTATTGCTGTATTAATTAACTCGTGCCGATCAGAAATAATACCAACACCATCCTGCGTCACGACATGTTTGCGTAAATTCTCAAGGAAAAAATGCCAACCATCTGCAGTTTCTCATCGGCCAAATATTCTGATAGTCATCTTGTGCAACAGCTACCAATAAAGCCCCCTTGTATTTTTCATATAAATGTGTCCCATCAACCTGCACAAGTGGTTTGCAGTGTTTGAATGCTCGAATGCACGGAGAAAAACTCCAAAAAATATGACGTAATATTTGAATATTAGGAACCAACTCATCATTGCGATATGCTTTAACAGCATTCAATTGAACAATTGGCCCACGAACAGTGTCACACATCGCTACAGACCATTGCGGCAGGGCTTCATACGAGGCTTCCCACTCACCATACACTTTTTCAATTGCTTTTTGCTTTGTCATCCATGCTTTTCTATATGTTGTCGTATATCCAAATCGAACTTGAACTTCATTAATCACAAGTTCAGATTCTACCATTGGCTTAATACATTCTGCAATTGTGTCTGTATCCAACTTGCTATGATCCTACGAAATCCTAGCCCTCATACAAGTGTGTAGCCCATTATACTTCTTGATTTCCCAAAAATATTTGTTTTTCCTCAAGCTAGCCCGAACAATCCAATCACAATCTATGCCATAGCTTACACATTTACAGTAAAATGTATTTGGTTCAGACTCAAATACTTTATAGTCCACTCTTTTTGATATACTATAATGTTTAATTGTTCGTATAACATTTTCTCTGTCATTAAATTGCATTTCAACACACAATTCTCCTACTACCTCAGAATTACCTATCAAACACATAAATTTTAATTAAAAAAATTAATTTATTAAATTAAACATAAAATGATAAGGGTATAATTAAAATATTTCAAACATCACATACCTAAGTTAGCATATTCTGGAAATTCAGGTGCTTGCATACTTGTAAAATCTAACGCACGCATGAATAACGGCTCCTCAAACGGATGTTTGCCAATCATTGGACTTGATAAATAGGAGTCTTCATCAACTCCCTCATTTCTGATTCCTCATCATCACCATCTTCATCAAAGTCAGGGTCATCACTTTCAGTGCTATTTTGTTCCCATTCAATCTCTCTGTTGGTAACGATGCTCGCATAGGCTTCATCTTCCTCATCGCTACCTTCTGCATGTGTATTAGCTGTAATTTGTTTAAAAACAATATACAGCTCAATGGTAGGAGTTGGAGCCCGACGCTCATTATGTATTTGAAACATTTGTTGAATATCTTTGTCGGTTGTTATTACAACTCTTTGGTATTGCATGAAACCTCTAAAAATAGAAATCAGACACCTATACGTTATACTCTCTACTATTTTTGGAGTCTCCACTTCAATATATTGACAAAGCTAATATTTTAGTGCTTCATATGATATATTATAAGGAATATGCATACAAATTAGCTTCTCACGTATAAATCTCACACCTTCACATGTGTTTGTAATAATTTCACCATTAAAGTACACCACTATATTTGTACTCATTTCTTTCTTCAACTATAAAAAAAATGGTCAAATTTGACAAACAAAAAAATGCAAATAGCAGAAATGCAATAGAAAGCTTTAGAGAGTGGAGAGAATAGGATTACGGTGCAATTTATTACAAATAACAATGACTATATATAGAACGAGATTTTAAAAAACGTCACTGGCGATTTTACTTTTTAAAAATTGTCATAAATGATTTTTACTATAAATTTTTTTAAAAAACTTGCCCATGACAATTTTTGACTATTTTTTAATTTTTTTTTAAAACTCACCAGTGGCAATTTTTACCATCATATAACATTACTTTTTCTGACATTCAAAAATCGTCACTGGCAATTTTTTAATTTTCCTATATTTATGTAATTTTTTTCTAAAGTCCATATTATGGTAATTAAGTAAAAAAAATCCCATATAAAAAAAAAACCCAAAATCTGAGTTTTCCTTAAAAAGGGCACAAATTTATTGTAATATTAATGCATGAATATTAAATGTTTTTAACATACCCAAAAAGTAATGTTACAAAAGTGGAAAAAAGGGAATTCATGCACATTGTTTTCATCTTTGACAAATATTTTGGAAATATAACTGAGATAAATCCTTTTATGAAATGTTGATAAAGTAAAGTTTTTTTTGTTTTTTTTTCAGAATGACAATTTTAACTTTAAGATTCAAATTATTGACATTGGAAAATTTTTTTATACTCACGATTTAAGTTATTATATTTTTTGTTAATTTATAAAAATAAAATGATTCTGTAAATTATCTTTGTCACCAAAGAATCTTAAAATATTAGCATATTAGTATGAAGTTTATTTTTTTACAATAGGGCTTCGTTTTTTCTTTTTGGCAATTTAATATTACTTCAAATTTATTTGGTAGCAAAGGCCATTCACTAAAATCCTTTTCTTAGTAAAATTAAGGAAACCATACATAGTTTATGTATATTTTTAATTGCTAACATACGACTTATTTTAAATTGTATCACTGAAGTTGTATATAGAAATCATAACTCAGTAAACTACGACGAAATCATGTCTAATTATTGCAATTTACAATCAAGATTTAATTTTTTGTATTAACAAAATGGTAATCATAGCCCAAAAAATGGTAATCGTAAGTTACAACTTCTTACAGACTGTCTTATTTAATAAAAAATCACCAAATTGATTGAAAAATAAACAAAGTTACACAAAGGGAAATACTTACAAAGTAGTATTTTGAAATCTGTTTGATTTTAAACTGGATTCCACGGGACCAAATTTGCATGAAACTATTTAGCTAACCAATACCATTGTTTTCTCCTAGTTTCTTCGTTCTAATAACTCTGATGCTTTGACTGTGGTTCAATTCTAATAGAATATTAAAAATAATGGTACACATGTGTTAAACGACCCACGTTAAAAAAATTCAAAAATAATTTTTTTATTTAAAATTATAATATTTAGTATATTAATATATTAAATTAGTGATATTTTATTATTTTTAGTAAAAAATTAGTATATATAATATTTTGTTAGAATACAATTAAGGAAAAACTGTAAAAAGAAAACCACTAGAGAAGTACAGTTGCAGAAGCGGAAAAAGAAATGATAAAAGGGTGGCAGGGCAGAGAAAGGTTTGGTTCCTAAAGAGTTACAACCTCAAAACGTCAGTCACCATGTCACACATATTCTACAAAGTACAAAACCTCACGTTTTGCTTTTCACTATCTTAATCAAAGTTGCCTTTTAAGCACCCCTACATAGAAGAAAAACTTTTACTTTTAAACAACGGGAATGTAAATGCTGGCAAATTACACTGCTGAATATCTGCAAATTTAACAGTGGTATAAATGGTTGTGGAGCCTACTGCCACTCCAACCATACCCTACTCAGATCCCTTCTTTGGTCCCATTGCCTTCTTCCGACGGTGCTCCTTCCCCTTCAGACCACTTTCTCAGTCTTGCAGAAACACCCTCACACACAAATAAAAAGAAAGTCATAGGAAAAATAAAAAGCAAGTTGTTTGAGAAAGTCACAGGAATAATAATAGAAAGAGTGTGAAAGGGTGAGTTAAGAAAAGAGTGAGAGACAGGTTTCAGTTATATACTTACAAAAGAGCGTGCTTATCAAAAAACAGCTAGAGTTTCTGAACCTCCAAGACTTGTTCACTCCCCTTCTGATAAAAGGTACAAGCTTTTCCCTTAATTTTCAACGACTTTTTCCTTGTTCTTCTTTTCTGCAACTTCTGTATCTCAAATACTCTCTCACCCCATTATTACTCTCTTTACTATCCTTTGTCTCACTACTTTTCATCACTTTTCACTCAATACTCAATACTTGTGTTGTGTGTGATCCCTTTCATGCGTTGATTATATGTATATTGTATGCTACATACTATACATTTATACACTGTTCCGGGTAATCATGTTCTTTTTTAATTTTCATAGGTGGTTAGTGTGCCTGAGTTCGTTATTTCACTGTTGCTGTGCTTTTAAATTTGATTTGAGTTAATCGTTACGGCATGAAGCGATATTGATTTGTTAGAGGCACAACAGAGAATCTGCGGAACTGTGTTTCGCTTTGGTATCTTTGTAAGTATTCAGATCTGAAGCACAATCATGCAGTTTTATGTTTCTATGAATTCCCTCTTTCTCTCTCCTCCTTGTAATCCGAGATGGGGTTAACAATATAATTTTGTTCTTTATGATGATACCTTTTTCTTTGCTTTTGAATTACTTAGACACGAATTATGCATCAAGTAAGCAAAGTTTGTACCTCTCCTTCCCCCCAAAATTACTTTTTGTAAAGTAAGTATTCCGTTTTAGTTGAATCTCTTGCTTCCTACTAATGATTTTTGCTCTTTCTGAATTGACGATTTTTTCTCTCTCTCTTCTTTTTTCCTCGCGTGTGTGTAATTTTGAGATGTATAACTTAGACTATGATGCTACTATTACCATTTTTCTTTTTATATTATTTTAATTTGAACTACCATGAATATAACACGAAAAACATTCAGTTTTGCCTCATTTTTCCATACTGGTTATTGGAATTCATCTTGTGACTGACATGGATATGATCCAAACTTCAGAGAGGCTGTTCGTTCGAATCTTGTGAGTGCGTGCGGATTTGATATATCTCGTGATTGGGAATCATACCACTACAGGCATGGATATTCAAGAAGAGAACTCGGTGTTTGGGTCCTTGACAGCCATGACTACAAGGAACATGTCATCATCATCTTCTGTTTTCTTTTCAGCAAACCAGTCACCATTCTTCTCTCCAAGATCACCATCATCATGCCATTTATCAGAATCAACCAGACTTGATGCACCAAGTAACAGAATTCATTTAGATTTGGGTCCCCCTTGCACAAGTTCAGGGATTCCAGAACCAAAGTCACTAGTAAATGTTAGAAGTACCTTCTCAGATGTATCTGCATCTCCAGCTGGATATAATTCAGGTGATTTGCAGAAACTTGATCGTATATCTTCCTCATTTGGCATCTCAACTAGCAGCATATCTAGCTACTGCCATCACCATGAAAATGATTATTCTGGACAGAAAGAAAAGCAAATTAAGAAAGACAGAAACCATAGAACATCATCAACTCATGGTTCCACATCATTTTCTTCTCATAGACTGAGGAGTTGTGATGTTTTCATAGGATTACATGGCTGCAATCCCCCTTTACTGCGATTTGCTAAATGGCTTCGTGCTGAGTTAGAAATTCAAGGTATCAGTTGCTTTCTATCGGATAGAGCTCGATGTAGGAACTCTCGCAAGCTTGGCATTGCAGAGAGAGCCATGGATGCTGCTTCTTTTGGGATAGTAATTATAACAAGGAAGTCTTTCAAGAATCAATACACTATTGAGGAGCTGCAGTTTTTTTCTAGCAAGAAGAATTTGGTCCCAATATACTTTGATTTGAGTCCTGCTGATTGTCTTGTGAGGGATATAATTGAAAAGAGAGGTGAATTGTGGGA